TACTCAAACTGAAATTCAGCCAATCCTCCCCACGCAATGGAAAGGTCAAATGCTTTATTATCAAACATTTTAAAGAGCGTGGACAATGGAGAAAAACAAAATGGTGCAGTTTGAGGCCATGTGGCAGCAAGGGATTAGGGCGCTGGAGATAAGGGGTGGGGGCTAGTGGGTCTGGGCAGGTGGGATGTAGTGACATTTGAATGATGTCGTTTTTGTATGTGTATGTTTTGTATTGTTTATAAAATATCAAATAAAATCACATTTTTCAAAATCCGCTGTGTGACACAAATTAACAATATTAATCCACTCGGGATAAACTGTTTTCTGAGATTGGGATCCTCAGTCAGATGCTTATCAGAGGTCCCTCCCCTCTGACCTTCTCCTCCAATGGGTTTTGAGAAGGAGGAGAGGAGAGAGGATTCGAGGAACCAAGGAAATGCAATTGAGATTCTGCCCTAATCGCTGACCTGTCCTTTGTGTTCTGTCATTTGTGTTCTCTCTCACCAAGCTGACAACAGCAGAAACAGGAAGAAGGTGGCACCCAATAAGAACAAACGAGATTTCTCTGCCTTCAAACAGAGTGAGAGCGAATCCAAAGTCAAGATCTCCCCTCAGCTGCTATTGGCTGCTCACCGCTTCCTGGCAACAGGTTAGACCTCCAAACCACACAATGCGACCCCACACACTGTCACACACTACCTAACCACGATATGGTACAATACAGTGCATTCGGAAAGTATTCAGTCCCCTTGACCTTTTCCCCATTTTGTTACTCTACAGCCTTATTTTAAAATCAATCTACACACAATACCCCATAATGACAAAGCGGAAACAGGTTATTAGAAATGTTTGCAAATGTTTTAAAAATAAAAAACAGAAATACCTTATTTACATAAGTATTCAGACCCTTTGCTTTGAGACTCGAAATTGAGCTCAGGTGCATCCTGTTTCCATTGATCATCCTTTCTAGAACTTGATTGGAGTCCACCTGTGGCAAATTCAATTGATTGGACATGATTTGGAAAGGCACACACCTGTCTATGTAAGGTCCCACAGTTAACAGTGCATGTCAGAACAAAAAACAAGCCATGAGGTCGAAGGAATTGTCCGTAGACCTCCGAGACAGCATTGTGTCGAGGCACAGATCTGGGGAAAGGTGCCAAAAAATGTCTGCAGCGTTGAAGGTCCACAAGAACACAGTGGCTTCCATCATTCTTAAATGGAAGAAGTTTGGAACCACCAAGACTTTTCCTATAGCTGGCCGCCTGGCCAAGCTGAGCAATCTGGGGAGAAGGGCCTTGGTCAGGCAGAGCTCCAGAGTTCCTCTGTGGAGATGGGAGAACCTTCCAGAAGGACAACCATCTCTGCAGCGCTCCACCAATCAGGCCTTTATGGTAGAGTGGCCAGACGGAAGCCACTTCTCAGTAAAAGGCACATGACAGCCCGCTTGGAGTTTGCCAAAAGGCACCTAAATTCTCTCAGACCATGAGAAACAAGATTCTCTGGTCTGATGAAACCAAGATTGAACTCTTTGGCCTGAATGCCAAGCGTCATGTCTTAAGGAAACCTGGCACCATCCCTACGGTGAAGCATGGTGGTGGCAGCATCATGCTGTGGGGATGTTTTTCAGCGGCAGGGACTGGGAGACTAGTCAGGATTGAGGGAAAGATGAACGGAGCAAAGTACTGAGATCCTTGATGAAAACCTATTCCAGAGCGTTCAGGCCCTCAGACTGGGGCGAAGGTTCACCTTCCAACAGGACAATGACCCTAAGCACACAGCCAAGACAGCGCAGGAGTGGCTTTGGGACAAGTCTCTGAATATCCTTGAGTGGCCCAGCCAGAGCCCGGACTTGAACCCGATCAAACATCTCTGGAGAGACCTGAAAATAGCTGTGCAGCGACGCTCCCCATCCAACCTGACAGAGCTTGAGAGGATCTGTAAAGAAGAATGGGAGAAACTCCCCAAATACAGGTGTGCCAAGCTGATGGCGTCATACCCAAGAAGACTTGAGGCTGTAATCGCTGCCAAAGGTGCTTCAACAAAGTACTGAGTAAAGGGCCTGAATTCTTATGTAAATGTGATGTTTCCGTTGTTTATTTTTAAAACATTTGCCAAAATTCCTAAGGCTGTAACGTAACAAAATGTGGAAAAAGTCAAGGGGTCTGAATACTTTCCCAATGCACTGTATGTCTAGCTCAGTTGGTAAAAGCGTGTCGCGACTCGCTAAGAATGCCAATGTTGTGGTTTTGCTCAATTCCCTCAGTGATTGCTTATTCATAGTAAAAATGAATGTAACAATGGTTGAATGTAATTACATAAATGATTAACTTGTGTTGCCAGCACCACTAGTCATGTGGTCTGTTGCAGCATGCTTAGAGCCAGAGCCAGAAAGACGTTGCTGTTCCCTCTGCTCTCTCTAAAACAACAGAGATTGCGGTTACAGCAGGCCTCTCTGTGTCTGCCTCTACCTCCTCTCTCTGTCTGTCTCTACCCCCCTCTCTCTCTGTCTGTCTCTACCCCCCCTCTCTGTCTGTCTCTACCCCCCTCTCTGTCTGTCTCTACCCCCCCTCTCTGTCTGTCTCTACCCCCCTCTCTGTCTGTCTCTACCCCCCCTCTCTGTCTGTCTCTACCCCCCCTCTCTGTCTGTCTCTTTCCCCCCTCTCTGTCTGTCTCTACCCCCCTCTGTCTGTCTCTACCCCCCCCCTCTGTCTGTCTCTACCCCCCCCCCTCTGTCTGTCTCTACCCCCTCTCTGTCTGTCTCTACCCCCCCCTCTCTGTCTGTCTCTACCCCCCCTCTCTGTCTGTCTCTACCCCCCCTCTCTGTCTGTCTCAACCCCTCTCTGTCTGTCTCTACCCCCCTCTCTGTCTGTCTCTACCCCCCCTCTCTCTCTGTCTCTACCCCCTCTCTGTCTGTCTCTACCCCCCCTCTCTCTCTGTCTCTACCCCCCTCTCTGTCTGTCTCTACCCCCCCCTCTCTGTCTGTCTCTACTAAGGCTGAACGATTTTGGAAAATAATCTAATTGCGATTTTTTGCCCCCAATATTGCGATTGCGATTTAATATGCGATTTAATTTATTTATCCTTTTTCCCCTACAAAACATAATGAATGATTTAAATATGACCAACACAATAGTATATACATTTAGTGTGAAATGTTCTTTCCCATAGGCTGGGTCTATTTGTTAGAATTAAATTCAAACATGTATGACTTGAAATAAATGACATTTTTATTGAACTGCTCATTACAGAAACATCTGTGGCTTTGCCACTGTGCATTTAAATAATTTAAACAAAGGCATGAACTTTGTAAACACTGTGTGCAAAAGGTACAGTCTTAAGAAAAAAATAATTTTAAATTGTATGTATCTTACTGCTCCCAAGTCAGTAACATTTCACACAACTGAAACAAGGAATTTGCTTTGAAAATATTTTGTAAAATCAAAGTAAATAAAGTTATAAATAAAAAATGAGAAATGCACTTTTAATTTAGACAAACTATTTTTTATAAACGATTTGAATATTATAATATAAAATAGATGAGCCTCACTTATCTCAAGTACACAACAATAACACACCACACAGACTAAAGTTCACTACGAGTATGGCACTGCCAGCCATACTTATCCAACAGTTCTGTTCTCAGTGGCTCACAGGTTTTTTGCTAAGAAAACCAGAATATTGACTTTTTCTGGCTTCAAGGCTGAGCGAGTGCAAGTCACAATATTCCCTCCTGTGCTAAAAAGACGCTCTGAGGGAGCGCTTGTAGCAGGTACACAAAGATACTTGCGTGCCATGGTGCACAACTGTGGGTAGCTGATCTTGTGCACCCTCCACCAAGCCAATGGATCATCTTCTCCATCAATGGTAGGAGTCATCAGGTAATTGTTTATCTCTGCCTCTGCGACATCTTCAAGATTTACAGGCAAAGAAGGAGAGGCTGAACTGGTCTTGAAAAAACTGCCAAGAGACCTCTTCGTCTTTTCCCCCAAGGACTGTGCACTTTGAGGCATCTGAACAGTTTCAGTACGAGACCTCTTCTCCTATTAGATGAAAACAACAGCCATTAGTTTTCCAGTTAGATTTTACAGAAAATTTTTGTTTTTGTGAAATACATAATTATTTACCCAATGATATGTACGTTGTGCCAAGTCTACTATCTCTGTCTTCAGACGAGTCTTGATAGCAGGGATGTTGTCTGTACTGATGTACTGTATTTTGAACCTAGGGTCCAGGAAACAGGCAACATCCAAAAGCTCCTGGATGTTTGGGTCTCCATATTTGTTACTGAGGTATGCTAGGACTTTGGTTTTTATTGATTTAGTCAGGTCAGTGTCCTCAGCATCTTCAGCCAGGACTGATGTGGCAAAAAGGTGGAGAACTGGCTTGAGGTAGGAGATGCTTACATACTCCTCTCCAGAAAGAGCATCAGTAAACTCCAGTAGAGGATGCAGTGCCTTGTGAATCGACTCCAACACGTCAATATCCTGCCAGGTTGGGATAAGGGAGCGTGCATATCGATCTCCAGACAATACCTGAGAAATGGCTTTGGCCTGTTCAAGCACTCTGGCAATCATCATTTCTTTAGAACCCCATCTTGTTGGGCACTCCGTTATGAGGTTGTGCTCAGGGAGTTTGAGCTCTCTCTGTGCCTCTGTCAGGGCTGCTTTCTTCTTCCAACTGTGGGAAAAGTGCCCCACCAGCTTCCTGCACAGTGCTGTTGCCCTTGACACTCTGTCATCTTTGAGTGCATTTTCTAAAAGAAATAAAAAGTAGTGTATTACACACAATTTGAGTTTTGATACAAGGCTCTCACTATTACACACTCAAATTAGCTGTAATTCTGAAATACACACATCCACAACACATCCTCTCTCTCTCTCTCAATTCAAAGGGTCTTTATTTGCATGTCAATTCTCTCTCTCTTTCTCTCTCTCTCTCTCTCTCTCTCATAAACACTAAAAAAACATGTAAAAAACAAAAACAAGAAAAGAAAAAAAATGCAGGTGGGCATTCCACCACAGACAGACATATGATATAAGCAAGTAAAATGAATTTACATATTAGAAAAGGAGTGGAAGTATGAATTTATTTAATCCCATCCGATTTATATAATATCATTTATATATATTTGTATATTCAGCTTTACTAATCGACGCATCTCTCTCTCTCGCACTCGCGCACACACACACACACACACAAACACACACACACACACACACACACACACACACACACACACACACACACACACACACACACACACACACACACACACACGATAACTTACCAATGGCAAGATGTAATCTGTGGCCAAAACATTGGAGCCTCGTCCATTCATTAAGCCGCGCAGCAAGCACCATATTCGACGCGTTGTCCGTCGTGATGCAGACGTGATTCTCCTCGTGGAGATCCCAGCTGACAAGCCCTTCTCTCAGGCCGGCTGCAATATTTTCCCCTGTGTGATCGTCTGGGAAGTAGGTAGTTTGTAGGCAGCGAGCTCGGAGGTTGAAATCTTCATCAATAAAATGGACTGTAAGACTCTGGTACGGCTCAGCTGTGCGGCTTGACCACATATCAGTAGTGCTAGCAAAAAACTCCACCGTTTTAAGTTCCGCGGCGACTTTCTCTTTGCACTTTTTGTACAGCTCCGGTATGGCAGTCTGACTGAAGTATGTGCGGGAGGGTATACTGTAACGTTTATCAAGCGTATGTATTAATGCCATGAACCCAGGCTTGGTCACCGTGCTGAGAGGCATCATATCTTTGGCTATGAACTCGGTTATTGTCCGAGTGATTTCTCCGTGCCGTTTTGAATTACGTTCATACGGAGTGACACTTTCGAACATTTCTGTCAGTGATCCCTGTCTTGAGGTATTTGGCTTGTCTCGCGCACTGATGCTCGGCATTTTGGTCATACAACTGTCATGCATTGATTTGTGGTATTTTTTTAAGTGCTGAAACAGGTTTGTAGTGTTACACCCCGTGAAGTAGCAATCGGAGCACGGCATGCTCTGCACAACACCTGACGCTGCTCAGCATCTTCTTTTTTAAAACCAAAATAGTTCCACACCACCGACGTGCTGTTCCTCTTCGATATTAAAGTATCAGCTGTGTCAGTTTCTGACTGTTCCGTCGAGCAAGAGGCCATTGCGCTGGACAGCATGAAAAGTCGCGTCACGTGACCACCTCAAATCGCGCACGTTGCGATTAGAAAATCGCGTTCAGTCAAATCGCGATATTATCGCGAATGCAATTAATCGTTCAGCCCTAGTCTCTACCCCCCCTCTCTGTCTGTCTCTACCCCCCCTCTCTGTCTGTCTCTACCCCCCCCCCCTGTCTGTCTCTACCCCCCCTCTCTGTCTGTCTCTACCCCCCTCTCTGTCTGTCTCTAACCCCCCCTCTCTGTCTTGTCTCTACCCCCCCCTCTCTGTCTGTCCTACCCCCCCCTCTCTGTCCTTCCACCCCCCCTCTCCTGTCTCTCCCCCCCTCTGTCTCTCCCCCCCTCTCTGTCTGTCTCTCTACCCCCTCTCTGTCTGTCTCTACCCCCCCTCTCTATTTTAAAAATTTTTTTTTTTCTTTTTAAAAAATTTTTTAAACCCCCCCCGGGGGGGGAAAAATTGGTTTTTCCTTTTTTCCCTTTTTTTTTTTTTTTTTTTTTAAAAAAAAGTTTAAAACCCGGGTTTTTTGGGTTTTGGGGCCCCCCGGCTTTTTTTCCTTTTTTTCCCCCCCTTTTTTTTTTTTTTTTTTGGAAAGGGTTTTTGGGGGTTTTTTTTTGAAAAGGTTTTTTTAAACCCCCCCTTTCCGGCCCCTTTTTTTTAAAAAAAAAGGTTTTCCCCCCCCCCTTTTTTTTCCCCAAAAAAAAAACCCCCCTTTTTTTCCCTTTTTTAAAAAAGGGGGGGGGGTTTTTAAATTTTTAAAACCCCCCCTTGGGGGAAAAAAAGGGGAAAAAAAATTTTTTTTTGGGGAAAAAAAAACCCCCCCCCCCCCCCGGGTTTTTCCCCCCCCCTTTTTTCCCCCCCCCCCCCCCCCCCCCCCCCCCCCCCTTTTTTTCCCCCCCCCCCCCCCCTTTTTTTCCCCCCCCCCCCCTTTTTCTTCCCCCCCCCCCCTTTTTTCCCAAACCCCCCCCCTTTTTTTTCCCCCCCCCCCCCCCCTCGTCTTTCTTCCCCCCCCCCCCCCCCCCCTCCCCTTTTTTTTCTTCCCCCCCCCCCCCTTTTTTTTTTCCCCCCCCCCTTTTTTTTTTCCCCCCCCCCCCCCCCCTTTCCCCCCCCCCCTTTTTCCCCCAAAACCCCCCCCCCCTTTTTTTCCCCAACCCCCCCCCCGGCCCCCCCCCCCCCCCCCCCTTTTTTTTTTTCCCCTTTTTCCCCCCCCCCCCTGGCTTCCCCCCTTTTTTTTCCCCCCCCCCCCCGGGTTTTTTTCCCCCCCCCCCCCCCTTTTCTTCCCCCTCTTCCCCCCTTTTTTTTTCCCCCCCTTTTCCCCCCCCCCCTTTCCCCCCCCCCCCCCTCTGTCTGTCTCTAAAAACCCCCCCCCGGGGCCCTTTTTTCCCCCCCCCCCTCTTTTCCCCCCCCCTTTTCCTTTTTTCCCCCCCCCTCCTTTTTCCCCCCCCCCCCCCTCTTTCTTTCCCCCCCCCCCCCCCCCCCTTCCCCCCCCTCTTTTTTCCCCCCCTTTTGCCCCCTTTCCCCCCTTTTCTTCCCCCCCCCCCCCCCCCCCTCTTTTCCCCCCCCCTTTCCCCCCCCCCCCTTCCCCCCCCCCCCCTTTTTTTCCCCCCCCCCCCCTTTTTTTTTTCCCCCCTTCCCCCCCCCCCCTTTTTTTTTTTTTCCCCACCCCCTTCCCCCTTTTTTTTTCCCCCCCTCCCCCTTTTTCCCCCCCCCCCAAACCCCCCCCCCCTTTTTTTTTCCCCCCCCCTTCCCCCCTTTTTTCCCCCCCCTTCCCCCCCCCCCCCCCCTTTTTCCCCCCCCCCTTTTTTTCCTTCCCCCCCCCTTTTTTTCCCAAACCCCCCCCCCCCCCCCCCTTTCTACCCCCCCCCCCCTTTTTTTTCCCCCCCCCCCCTCTTCTGTCCTCTAACCCCCCCCCCCCTCCCCCCCCCCCCCCCCTTCCCCCCCCCCTGTCCCCACCCCCCCCTTTTCTGTCTGTCTCCCCCCCCCCCCCCTGGCCCCCCCCCCCCCCCGGTTTTTTCCCCCCCCCCCCCCCCTTTTTTTTTCCCCCCCCCCCCCCCCAACCCCCCCCCTCTCTTTCCCCCCCCCCTTTTTTTTTCCCCCCCCCCCCCTCCCCCCTCTTCCCCCCCCCCCCCCCCCCCCCCCCCTTTTTCTCCCCCCCCCCCCCCCTCTTTCCCCCTTTTTTTTCCCCCCCCCCCCCTTTTTTCCCCCCCCCCCCCCCTTTTCCCCCCCCCCCCCCCCCCTTTTTCTTCTCTTCCCCCCCCCCCCCTTTTTCTTTTCCCCCCCCCCCTTTTTTTTCCCCCCCCCCCCCCCCCCTCTTTCTTCCCCCCCCCCCCTTTTTTTTCCCCCCCCCCCTTTTTTTTCCCCCCCTTCCCCCCCCCCCCCCTTCTGTCTTTTTTCCCCACCCCCCCCCCCTTTTTTTCTTTTCCCCCCCCTTTCCCCCCCCTTTTTTTTCCCCCCCCCCCCTTTTTTTTCCCCCCCCTACCAAACCCCCCCCCCCCCCCCCCCCCCCCTCTCTGGCCCCCCCCCCCCCCCCTTTTTTTCCCCCCCCCCCCCCCCTTTTTTTTTTCCCCCCCCCTTTTTTTCTTTCTACCCCCCCCCCCCCCCTCTCCCCGGCCCCCCCCCTTTTTCCCCCCCCCCCCCTTTTTCCCCCCCCCTTTTTCCCCCCCCCCCCTTTTTGTCCTCCCCCCCCCTTTTTTTCCCCCCCCCCCCCCCCCCCCCTTTGGGCCCCCTTTTGTCTTTTAAAAAATTTTCCCCCCCCCCCCCCTTTTTTTTTCCCCCCCCCCCCCCCAACCCCCCCCTCCTTTTTCTCTACCCCCCCCCCCTCTTCCCCCCCTTTCCCCCCCCCCCCCTTTCCCCCCTTTTTCTTCCCCCCCCTTCCCCCTTTTTTTTCCCCCCCCCCCTTCTGTCTTCTCCCCCCCCCCCCCCCTTTTTTTTAAAACCCCCCCCCTTTCCCCCCCTCCCCCTTTTTTTTTTCCCCCCCCCCCTTTTTCCCCCCCCCCTTTTTTTTTTTTCCCCCCCCCCCCTTTGCTTTTTCCCCCCCCCCCCCCTTTTTTTCCCCCCCCCCCCTTTTTTTTTCCCCCCCCCCCCCCCCCCCTTTTTTCTTTCCCCCCCCCCTCTTTTTTTCCCCCCCCCCCCCCCCCCCCCCCCTCTTTTCCCCCCCCCCCCCCCTTTTTTTTTTTCCCCCCCCCCCCCCCCCCCTTTCCCCCCCCCCCCCCTTCTTTTCCCCCCCCCCCCTTTTTCTCTTTCCCCCCCCTTCCCCCCCCCCCCTTCCCTTTCCCAAACCCCCCCCCCCTTTTTCCCCAAAACCCCCCCCTTTTTTTTCCCCCCCCCCCCCTTTCCCCCCCCCCTCTCTTTCCCCCCCCCCCCTCTTTCCCTTTTTTCCCCCCCCCTCTTCCTTTCCCCCTTTCCCCCCCCCTTTTTCTCCCCCCTTTTCCCCCCCCCCCCCCCCCTCCCTACCCCCCCTCTCTGTCCGGGTCTAACCCCAAACCCCCCCCCCTGGCCCCCCCCCCCCCTTTTTCCCCCCCCACCCCCCCCTTTGTCTTTCCCCCCCCCTTTTTTTCCCCCCCCCCCCCCCCCCCCCCCCCTTCCTTTTTTTCCCCCCCCCCCCCCCCCCTTTTTTTTCCCCCCCCCCCTTTTCTTTCCCCCCCCCCCCCCTTTTTCTTCCCCCCCCCCCCCCCTTTTCCCGGCCCCCCCCCCCCCCCCCACCCCCCCCCCCCCCCCCCTTTTTTCCCCCCCCCCCCCCCCCTTTTTTTTTCCCCCCCCCCCCCCCCCCCTTCTGTCTTTTCCCCCCCCCCCTTTTTTTCCCCCCCCCCCCCCCCTACCCCCCCCCCCCCCTCCCCCCCCCCCCCCCCCCCCCCCCCCCCCCCCCCCCTCCCCCCCCCCCCCTGTCTGTCTCTAAAACCCCCCCCTTTTTTTTCCCCCCCCCCCCCCTTTCCCCCTTTTTTTTCCCCCCCCCCCCCCCCCCCCCCCCCCCCCCCCCCCCCCCCCTTTTCCCCCCCCCCCCCCCCCCCTTTTTTTCCCCCCCCCACCCCCCCCCCCCTTTTTTTTTCCCCCCCCCCTTTTCCCCTTTTCCCCCCCCCCTTTTTTCTTCCCCCCCAAACCCCCCCCCCTCTTCCCTTTCCCCCCCCCCCCTTTTCTTTTCCCCCCCCCCCCCCCCCCCCCCTTTTTCCCCCCCCCCCTTTTGTCTTTCCCCCCCCCCCCCCTTTTTTTCTTTTCCCCCCCCCCCCTCTCCCCCCCCCCCCCCCTTTTCTCTTTCCCCCCCCCCCCCCCTTTCCCCCCCCCCCCCCCCCTTTTTTCCCCCCCCCCCCTTTTTTCCCCTAACCCCCCCCCCCCCTTTTTTTTCCCCCCCCCCCCCCCCCCCCCCCCCCCCCCCTTTCCCCCCCCCCCCCTTTTTTTTTTCCCCCCCCCCCCCCTCTCTTTCCCCCCCCCCCCCCCCCCTTCTTTTTTTCCCCCCCCCCCCCCCTTTTTCCCCCCCCCCCCCCCCTTCCCCCCCCCCCCCCTTCCCCCCCCCCCCCCCCCCCCCTTTTTTTTTCCCCCCCCCCCCCCCCCCTTTTTCCCCCCTTTCCCCCCCCCCCCCCTTCTTTTTTCCCCCCCCCCCCCCTTCCCCCTTTTCCCCCCCCCCCCCCCTTCTTTTCCCCCCCCCCCCCCCCCCCCCTTTTCCCCCCCCCCCCTTTCCCCCTTTCCCCCCTTTTTTTTCCCCCCCCCCCCCCCCCCCCCCCCCCCCCCCCTCCCCCCCCCCCCGGAAACCCCCCCCCCCGGGCCCCCCCCCCCCCCCCCCCCCCCCCCCCCCCTTTTTTTTCCCCCCCCCCCCCCCTTCCCCCCCCCTTTTCCCCCCCCCCCCCCCTTTTTTTTTCCCCCCCCCCCCCCCTTTCCCCCCCCTCTTCCCCCCCCCCCCCCCCTCCCCCCCCCCTTTCTGTCTTTCCCCCCCCCTCTTTCCCCCCCCCCTTCCCCCCCCTTTTTTTCCCCCCCCCCCCCCCCCCCCCCTCCCCCCCCCCTTCCCCCCCACCCCCCCCCCCCTTCCCCCTTTTTTTCTTCCCCCCCCCCCCCCCCCCCCCCCCCCCCTCCCTTCTTTTTCCCCCCCCCCCTTCCCCTTTTTCCCCCCCCCCCTTCTTTTTCCCCCCCCCCCCCCCCTTTTCTTCCCCCTCCCCCTTTTCTTTCCCCCCTAACCCCCCTTTTTTTTTTCCCCCCCCGGCCCCCCCTTTTTTCCCCCCCTTTTTCCCCCCCCCCCCCCCCCCCCCCCCCCCCTCTTTTTCCCCTTTCCCCCCCCCCTTTTCCCCTCTTTCCCCCCCCCCCCCCCCCCTTCCCCCCCCCCTTTCCCCCCCCCCCCCCCCCCCCTTCTGGTTTTTTCCCCCCCCCCCCCCCCTTTCTTCCCCCCCCCCCCCCCCCCCCCCCCCCCCCCCCCCCCCCCCCCCCCCCCCCCCCTTTTTTTTTTTCCCCCCCCCCCCCTTTTTTTCCCCCCCCCCCCCCCCCGGGGCTCTTCCCAAACCCCCCCCCCCCCCCCCCCCCCCCCCTTTTCCCCCCCCCTTCCCCCCCCGGCCCCCCCCCCCCCCTCTTTTTTTTCCCCCCCCCCCCCCCCCCCCCCCCTTTTTCCCCCCCCCCACCCCCCCCCCCTTTTTTTTCCCCCCCCCCCCCCCTTTTTTTTCCCCCCCCCCCCCCCCTTTTTTTTCCCCCCCCCCCCCCTTTTTTTTTTTCCCCCCCCCCTTTTTTTTTTCCCCCCCCCCCCCCCCCCCCCCCCCCCCCCCTCTCCCCCTTCCCCCCCCCCCCCCCTTTTTTCCCCCCCCCCCCCCCCCCCCTCTTCCCCTTCCCCCCCCCCCCCCCCCCCCCCCCCCCCCCCCCGGGGGGGCCCCCCCCCCCCTTTTTTTCCCCCCCCCCCCCCTTTTTTTTCCCCCAAAAACCCCCCCCCCTTTTTCTTAAACCCCCCCCCCCCCCCCCCCCCCCCTTTTTCTTCCCCCCCCCCCCTTTTTTTTTCCCCCCCCCCCCCCTTTCCTTTTCCCCCCCCCCCCCTTTTCCCCCCCCCCCCCCCCTCTTTCCCCCCCCCCCCTCCCCCCCCCCCCCCCCCCCCCTCTCTTTCCCCCCCCCCCCTCCCTTTTTTTCCCAACCCCCCCCCCCCCCCCACCCCCCCTTTTCCCCCCCCCTTTTCCCCCCCCTTTCCCCCCCCCCAACCCCCCCCCCTTCCCCCCCCCCCCCCCCCCCCCCCCCCCCACCCCCCCTTTTTTCTTTCCCCCCCCCCCCCCTTTTTTTTCCCCTTTTCCCCCCCCCCCCCCCCCCCTTCCTTTTCCCCCCCCCCCTCCCCCCCCCTTTTTTTTCCCCCCCCCCCCCCCCCTTTTTTTTCCCCCCCCCCCCCCCCCCTTCCTTTTCCCCTTTTCCCCCCCCCCCCCCTTTGGGGGTCTAAACCCCCCCCCCCCCGGGCCCCTAACCAACCCCCCTTTCCCCCCCCCCCCCCCCCCCTTCCCCCCCCCCCCCTTTTTTCCCCCTTTTTACCCCCCCCCCCGTCCCCCCCCCCCCCCCCCCCCCCCTTTTTTCCCCCCCCCCCCCCCCCCCTTTTTTTTTTTCCCCCCCCGCCCCTTTTTTTCCCCCCCCCCCCCCCCCCCCCCCCCCCCCCCCTCCTTTTTCCCCTTCCCCCCCCCCCCCCCTTTTTCTTCCCCCCCCCTTCCCCCCCTTTTCTTCCCCCCCCCCTTCCCCCCCCCTTTTTTTCCCCCCCCCCCCCCCTCTCTTTCCCCCCCCCCCTTTTTTCCCCCCCCCCCCCCCCCAAAAAACCCCCCCCCCCCCCCCCCCTTCCTTTTTTTCCCCCCCACCCCCTTTTCCCCCCCCCCCCCCCCCCCCCTTTTTTTCCCCCCCCCCCCCCCCTTCTTTTCCCCCAAAAAACCAACCCTTTTTTCCCCCCCCCCCCCCCCCCCTTCTCTACCCCCCCCCCCCCTCCCCCCCCCCGGGGGTTTTTTTCCCCCCCAACCCACCCCCCCCCCCCCTTTTTTTTTCCCCCCCCTTTTTTTCTTCCCCCCCCCCCCCTTTTTCCCCCCCCCCCCCCCCCTTCCCCCTTTTGTCCCCCCCCCTTTTTCCCCCAAACCCCCCCCCCCCAACCCCCCCCCCCCCCCCCCCCCCCCCCTTTTTTTTTCCCCCCCCCCCCCCCCCCCCTTTTTCCCCCCCAAAAACCCCCCCCCCCCCCCCCACCTTTTTCCCCCCCCCCCCCCCTTCTTTTCTTAAAACCCCCCCTTCCCCCCCGGGCTTTCCCCCCCCCCCCCCTTCCCCTTTTCCCCCCCCCCCCCCCCTCTCCTTTTAACCCCCCCCCCCTTTTTTCTGTTTAAACCCCCCCCCTTTCCCCCCCCCCCCTTTTTTTCCCCCCCCTCTTCCCCCTCTCCCCCCCCTTTTTTTCCCCCCCCCCCCCCCCCCTTCTTTTCCCCCCCTTTTTTCCCCCCCCCCTTTCCCCCCCCCCCCCCCCCCCCCCCCTTTTTCCCCCCCCCCCTTTCTTTTCCCCCCCCCCCCTCTTTTTCCCCCCCCCCCCCCTTCCCTTTTCCCCCCCCCCCTTTTCCCCCCCCCCCCCCCCCCCCCCTTTTTTCCCCCCCCCCCTTCCCCTTTCCACCCCCCCCCCCCCCCCCCTTTTTCCCCTTCCCCCCCCCCCCCCCCCTCTTTCCCCCCCAACCCCCCAAAAAAAACCCCCCCCCCCCCAAACCCCCCCCCCCCCCCCCTTCCCCCCCCCCCCTTTTTTTTTTTCCCCCCCCCCCTTTTTTTTTCCCCAACCCCCCCCCCCCCCCCCCCCCTTTTTTTTTCCCCCCCCCCCCCCCCCTCTTTTTCTTCCCCCCCTCCCCCCCCCCCCCCCTTTTCCCCCCCCCCCCCCCCCCCCCGGGCTGTCCTACCCCCCCCCCCCCCCCCCTTTTTTCCCCCCCCCCTTCCCCCCCAAAAAACCCCCCCCCCCCCCCCCCCCTTTTTTTTCCCCCCCCCCCCCCCCCCCCCTCTTTTCCCCCCCCCTTTTTCCCCCCCCCCCCCCCCCCCCCCAAAAACCCCCCCCCCCCCCCCTTTTTCCCCCCCCCCCCCCCCCCCCCCCCCCCCCCCCCCCCCGGGGCCTTTCCCCCCCCCCCCCCCCCCCCCCCTCTTTTTTCCCCCCCCCCCCCCCCCTCTTCTTTTCTCTCCCCCCCCTCCCGGGCTCTAACCCCCCCCCCCCCCCCTTTTTTTCTTCCCCCCCCCCTTTTTCCCCCTTTCCCCCCCTTTTTTCCCCCCCCCCCCCCCCCCCTCTCTGTTTTTTTCCCCCCCCCCCCTTTTTTTTCCCCCCCCCCCCCCCCCTTCCCCCCTTTTCTTTTCTCCCCCCCCCCCCCAACCCCCCCCCCCCCCTTTTGGGCCCCCCCCCCCCTTTTTTCCCCCCCCCCCCTTTTTCCCCCCCCTTCCCCCCCCCCCCCCCCCCTTTCCCCCCCCCCCCCCCCCCTTTTTTTCTTTAAAAAAACCCCCCCCTCTTTCCCCCCCTTTTTCCCCCCCCTTTCCCCCCCCCCTTTTCCCCCCCCCCCCCCCCCCCCCCCCCTTTTTTTTTCCCCCCCCCCCCCTTTCCCCCCCTTTTTCCCCCCCCCCCCCCCTCTTTCCCCCAAAAACCCCCCTCTTTCCCCCCCTTTAAAAACCCCCCCCCCCTTTCCCCCCCCCCCCCCCCCCCCCCCCCCCCCCCCTTCTGTCTTTTAAAAACCCCCCCCCCCCCCCCTTTTTTTTTTCCCCCCCCCCCCCCCCCTTTTCCCCCCCCCCTTTTTTTCCCCCCAAAACCCCCCCCCCCCCTTTTCTTCCCCCCCCCCCCCCTTTTTTCCCCCCCCCCCCCCCCCCCCGGGGCTTCCCCCCCCCCCCCCCCTTCCCCCCCCCCTTTTTTTTTTCCCCCCCCCCCCCTTCCCCCCCCCCCCCCCCCCCCCTTTTTTTCCCCCCCCCCCCCCCCCCTTTTTTTCCCCCCCCCCCCCCTCCTTTTTTCTTCCCCCCCCCTTTTCCCCCCCCCCCCCCCCCCTTCCCCCTTTTCCCCCCCCCCCCCTTTTTTCCCCCCTCTTTCTTTTTCCCCCCCCCCCCCCCCCCCCCCCCCCCCCCCTCTCTTCCCCCCCCCACCCCCCCCCCCCCCCCCCCCCTCTTGGGCCCCCCCCCCCCCCCTTTTTTTCCCCCCCCCTTTCCCGGCTTTTCCCCCCCCCCCCCCCCCCCCCCCCCCCTTTTTTGTCCCTTCCCCCCCCCCCCCCTTCCCCCCAAACCCCCCCCCCCCTCTTTGGGTTTTTTTTTAAAACCCCCCCCCCCCCCTTTCCCCCCCCCCCCCTTTGGGTTTTTCCCCCCCCCCTTTTCCCCCCTTTTCCCCCCCCCCCTTCCCCCCCCCCCTGTCTGTCCTTTTTTCTCCCCCCCCCCCCCCTTCCCCCCCCCCTTCCCCCCCCCCCCCCCCCCCCTTTTTTCCCCCCCCCCCCTCTTTCCCCCCCCCCCCCCCCCCCCCTCCCCCCCTTTTTTTTTCCCCCCCCCCCCCCTCCTTTTTTCCCAAACCCCCCCCCCCCCCTTTTTTTTTCCCCCCCCCCTTCCCCCCCCCTTTTTTTTTTCCCCCCCCCCCCCCCCCCCCGCCCAACCCCCCCCCCCCTTTTTTTCTTTTCCCCCCCCCCCTTTTTTTTTCCCCCCCCCCCCTTTTCTGTCCTTTTTTCCCCCCCCCCCCGGGCTTTTCCCCCCCCCCCTTTTCCCCCCCCAAAAACCCCCCCCCCCCCCTTTTTTTCTTCCCCTCCCCCCCCCCCCTTCCCAAAAACCCCCCCCCCCTTTTGTCTTTCCCCCCCCCCCCCCTCCCCCCCCCCCCCCCCCCTTTTTTTTTTTTCCCCCCCCCCCCCCCCCCCCCCCCCCCCTTTTTTCCCCCCCCCCTTCCTTTTTCCCCCCCCTTTTTAAAACCCCCCCCGGGGGGGACCCCCCCCCCCTTCCCCCCCCCCCCCCCTTTCCCCCCCCCCTTTCCCCCCCCCCAAACCCCCCCCTTTTTTCTTCCCTCCCCCCCCCCCCCCCCTTTTTTTTTCCCCCCTACCCCCCCCCCCCCCCCCCCTTTTCCCCCCCCCCCCCTCTTTCCCCCTTTTTCCCCCCCCCCCTTTTTTTTTCCCCCCCCCCCCCCTTCCCCCCTTTTCCCTTTTTCTCCCCCCCCCCCCCCCTTTTTCCCCCCTACCCCCCCCCCCCCCCCCCCCCCCCCTGTCTTTCCCCCCCCTTCCCCCCCCCCCCCCCCCCCCCCTTTTTTTTTCTCTAACCCCCCCCCCCCTTTTCTTCCCCCTTTCCCCCCCCCCCCCCCCCCCCCCCCCCCCCTTTTCTTCCCCCACCCCCCACCCCCCCCCCCCCTTTTTTTTTTTTTCCCCCCCCCCTTTTTTAAAAGGGGGCCCCCCCCCCCCCTTTCCTCCCTTTTTTTTCCCCCCCTTTTTTTTTTTAAAAAAAAAACCCCTTTTTTCCCCCTTTTTTTTTCCCCCCCCCCCCTTTTTCCCCCCCCCCTTTTTTTTTTTCTTCCCCAAAATTTTTTTTTCCCCCAAAAAACCCCCCCCTTTTTGGGTTTTCCCCCCCTTTTCCCCCCCCCCCGGGGCCCCCCTCAAACCCCCCCCCCCGGGGGGTTTTTACCCCCCCAATTTTTGGGGCCCCCCCCCCCCCCCAAACCCCCCCCCCCTCCCCCCCCCCCCCCCCCGGTTTTTTTCCCCCCCCCCCCCCCTTTTTTCCCCCCCCCCCCCCCCCAGGTTTTTTAAAAAATTTTTTTTTTTTTTAAAAAACCCCCCCCGGGGGGGTTTCCCCTTTTTTTCAAAATTTTTTTTTTGGCCCAAAAAAAAACCCCCCCCCTTTTTTGGGGCCCAAATTTTTTTTAAAAAAATTTTTTTTTTCCCGGGGGGAAATTTTTTCCCCCCCAAACCCCAAGGGTTTTTTAAAGGGGAAACCCCCCCCCCCCCCCCCCTCTCTCTCCCGGACTCCCCCATCGCTCTATGTCTCTGGAATGCCTGATATTTTTGTTGATGTTGTCATCTCCATTGGAGACGAGCAGTGTATTGTTGGGTGCCAGTCTGTTTAACTCATTGTCACTCCAAACATGACAATAAGTGACAAGGAGTTGGCATAAGAACACAAACGGATCTGGGACCAGGCTATATTGTTGGACAACTTTAACCTCCTTTCAGTTCAGACTAATTATAATTTGTGTCTCTCTCCAGAGGTGACATTATTCAGCCCGTCCCAGATATCGGACAAGGTTCTGTTGAGGATTCTGAGACACCCAGACGTCATCCAGGAGATTAAGTTCAACGACAGTGACAAACGCTGTCCTCAACACTTTGTCTACCAAAGAGGGAAGGCTGTCGACTACTTCATACTCATACTGCAGGTAGGCTACACACACACACACACACACACACACCACACACACACTCACACACACACACACTCTGTCTTTCTGTCTGTCTCTCTTTCTGTGAATCAGTCAGTGGTTGATTCAAAGAGTCACCATCGTGACATTCCCACATGAAAGGTTCCTCCTTAGTTTTTTATATAAGTCATCACTTCCTCTCTTCATACTGGCCTGGATTAGACCCGAGCAACTCTCTAACATCTCAGTGTTTCTCAGTGTTGAACGCAGCTATGTCCTGCTACTCGTAACCGATGGCAACTCCCTGCCCTGCCTCGACAGTGGGTCCGCAAAGCGTTTTCTTATTTAAACAGGCACTGGGTTGCCATCGGTTACGGGTGGAGGGAGGCTCTATGTCAATCAACCACACAGCCAGATGAACCATCCTGTTTAAGGACTGTTGTGAAAGCCGCCACTGGCCTCACGCAAGGCCCTCACACCTACACTCTCTCCAACATATTGCTCTCCGGAAGCAGAGTAGAAGAGACGAGGAGGCCACTTTAGACTATTGAGATGAGACGAGGAGGCCACTTTAGACTATTGTGATGAGACGAGGAGGCCACTTTAGACTATTGAGAGGAGACGAGGAGGCCACTTTAGACTATTGAGAGGAGACGAGGAGGCCACTTTAGACTATTGAGATGAGACGAGGAGGCCACTTTAGACTATTGAGATGAGACGAGGAGGCCACTTTAGACTATTGAGATGAGACGAGGAGGCCACTTTAGACTATTGAGATGAGACGAGGAGGCCACTTTAGACTATTGAGAGGAGACGAGGAGGCCACTTTAGACTATTGAGAGGAGACGAGGAGGCCACTTTAGACTATGGAGATGCAGGGGGTATATACAGGGGTTGGGCTGGGCGATATGGCCAAAAAATCATATCTCAATTTTTTTTCACATTTAGGGGCGATTCACAATATATATATTTTCATGTTTTCTCTAAATAAGCTTTGTTGTACAATTAAAGGTAAAATACACTGCATTTCAAACAGTCAGCAATAATATTGAATTCAGGGCTTGTGAAATTATACCTAGGTTAAATATAACCCTTCCATGACCATAAGACCCACTAATAATGTAATTATTTTATCAAAATAGTTTAACCTGCTTTTCTGCAATAATCACTGATCTGGCTTTCAAGTCTGTCTATGAACATTACCTTTTTGTTACAAATCTAACCAGAACCATGTATAATGCACATCCACTAATAATGACTAACTTCTTGTAGCAGGCATTATAGACAATTGACACAGGTCTTATAAACAATCCCTCAAGCACAAGCCCACGTGCTAGTGAGTAGGCAGCTAATCTTTATATTTCAAGTTTAGCCAATTTAGATCTATTTGCTAGCTAACAAGGTAGAACAGTTTAATTGTTATGAACACACCCTTCTGTCCATCTCCCAACTGTTTGATCGGCATGCTAGCCTGTCCACTTTGTTCAGATGTTGAAATCAAGTTGCCATTCTTATTTCCCACAGTTATCAAGTTGGCTGGATGTCCTTTGGGTGGTGGACCATTCTTGACACACACAGGAAACTGTTGAGCGTGAAAAACCCAGCAGCATTGCAGTTCTTGACACACTCAAACCGGTGCACCTGGCATCTACTACCATACCCCGTTCAAAGGCACTTAAATATTTTGTCTTGCCCATTCACCCTCTGAATGGCACACATACACAATCCATGTCTCAATTGTCTCGAGGCTTAAATATCCTTCTTTAACCTGTCTCCTCCCCTTCATCTACACTGATTTAAGTGGATTTAACAAGTGACATCAATAAGGGATCAAAGCTTTCACCTAGATTCACCTGGTCAGTCTATGTCATGGAAAGAGCAGGTGTTCTTAATGTTTTGTTCACTCAGTGTATAGGGAGTAGAATATAACATGGCTATATACAGGGAGTATAAGGGAGGGAGGGAGAGAGAGAAGAAGAGGGGGAGAGAGAGAAGAAGAGGGAGAGAGGGAGACATAGGGTCCAGAGGGGCCTTCGCTAATCGATCCCTCTTACGTAAAGGAGAGGGGGAGAGAGGGAGGAGGAGAGAGGGAGGAGGAGAGAGGGAGGAGGAGAGAGGGAGGGAGGAGGAGAAAGGGGGAGGAGGAGAGAGGGGGAGGAAGAGAGTGGGAAAGGGGGAGGAGGAGAGAGGGGGAGGAAGAGAGTGGGATAGAGGGAGGGGAGAGAGGGAGGAGGAGAGAGGGTAGAGGAAGAGAGTGGGAGAGAGGGAGGAGGGGAGAGGGAGGAGGAAAGAGGGAGGGGAGAGGAGGAGAGAGCGAGGGAGAGAGGGAGGAGGAGAGGGGGAGACACCATGCGTGCCACGCTGTCAGTCAGCTGTGTATCAATATGCTAATACCAACTGTTATCTAACCCCCAGCTAGCCTCTGTACCACTCTGTGTAGAAACTCACACTCACACACACTGTTTTCCCATAAATCAGTTATGGAATTAGTCTCCAAACAGTCATTAGCCAGCGCCAGTAACCCAGGGATCATTAGGCTCAGCTCGTTAGCCCCCCACCCCCTACCTCATCATGATGTTATCTACTCAGGTGAAATAATCCATAGAGATACACTGCATGGCCAACAGTATGTGGACACCTGCTTGTCAAACATCTTTTTCCAAAATCATGGGCATTAATATGGAGTTGGTCCCCCCTTTGCTGCTATAACAGCCTCCACTCTTATGGGAAGGCTTTCCACTAGATGTTGGAACATTGCTGTGGGGACTTGCTTCCATTCAGCCACAACAGCATTAGTGAGGTCGGGCACTGATGTTAGGCGATTAGGCCTGGCTCGCAGTCGGCGTTCCAATGCAGGTGTTCGATAGGGTTGAGGTCAGGGCTCTGTGCAGGCCAGTCAAGTTCTTCCACACCAATCTCGACAAACCATTTCTGTATGGACCTCGCTTTGTGCACAGGGGCATTGTCATGCTGAAACAGGAAAGGGCCTTCCCCAAACTGTTGCCGCAAAGTTGGAAGCACAGAATCATCTAGAATGTCATTTTATGCTGTAGAGTTAAGATTTCCTGGAACTAAGGGGCCTATCCCGAACCATAAAAAACAGCCCCAGACCATTATTCCTCCTCCACCAAACTTTACAGTTGGCATTATGCATTGGGGCAGGTAGCGTTCACCTGGCATCCATCAAACCCAGATTCGTCCTTCGGACTGCCAGATGGTGAAGCGTGATTCATCACTCCAGAGAACACGTTTCCACTGCTCCAGAGTCCAATGGCGGCGAGCTTTACACCACTCCAGCCGATGTTTGTCATTGCGCATGGTGTTCTTAGGCTTGTGTGTGGCTGCTCGGCCATTGAAACCCATTTAATGAAGCTCCCAAAGATCAGTTATTGTGCTGACGTTGCTTCTAGAGGCAGTTTGGAACTCGGTTGTGAGTGTTGCAATCGAGGACAAATTATTTTTACACGCTGCGCGCCTCAGCACTCGGCGGTCCAGTTCTGTGAGCTTGTGTGGCCTACCACTTCGCGGCTCAGCCGTTGTTGCTCCTAGACGTTTCCACTTCACAATAACAGCACTTACAGTTGACTGGGGCAGCGCAGAAATTTGAAGAACTGACTTGTCCTATGACGTGCCATGTTGAAAGTCACTGATTGCTTCAGTATGGGCCATTCTACTGTCAACGTTTGTCTATGGAGATTGCATGGCTGTGTGCTCAATTTTCATACACCTGTCAGTAATGGGTGTGGCTGAAATAGCCAAATCCACTAATTTGAAGGGGTGTCCACATACTTTTTAGTGTATGTTTAGGGGTGTGGGCAGTGGTGGGTGGGAGAGCACTGTCATATAGAGCCTGTCAACAATAGAATGTTAGGAGGTGGAGCCTGTCAACAATAGAATGTTAGGAGGTGGAGCCTGTCAACAATAGAATGTTAGGAGGTGGAGCCTGTCAACAATAGAATGTTAGGAGGTGGAGCCTGTCAACAATAGAATGTTAGGAGGTGGAGCCTGTCAACAATAGAATGTTAGGAGGTGGAGCCTGTCAACAATAGAATGTCATCCTCTTGTAATTTTGTTGACAGTTGCTCTTGCAAATACTGTTCTACTGCTACAGTGGGATTGGTCTATTGGCAAAAGAAAGGTAGGAACAGAAAGGAGATGGAAAGAGAAGAGATTTTATTTGTGGTATTATGACATAGACGTGGTCATGAATGAATGAATTGGTTGTTGTTGGAAGTGTGTGTGTGTGTGGGTTGCATTTGTTAATAGCGTGGGAGCAGAGTCATGAGAAATAGGAGCGTTCTCTTTCAGATAATCTCCCTCCGCCCCAATCTGCATTCCACCTATACTACAGCTACGTGAGTGTGTATGTGCTTTTGTGGTGTGTGTGTGTGTGTGTGTGTGTGTGTGTGTGACTGCGTCCTTCCTGTTACAGACCATTACATAGGCCTATTTTTGGTTGGTTGTTTGTTCATGTCTGCTCCCAGACATCAGTGATCTCTGTTTCCAGAATATTGTCATCAGCAATCAAATATTTGTCCCTTGGGGAGAGGGAGAGGGAGAGGGAGAGAGGGAGAGGGAGAGAGGGAGGAGGAGAGAGGGAGAGGGAAGAGTGAGAGGGGAGGATAAAAGGCTAGGCGGTCTCTTTCTGCTCTCGGGGCGGGGATTTTCTCCTTTCTCTTCCAGTCTCCTCGTTCCCCTCGCTTGTACGGGGCCTCGGTCCAGGATACTCCTGGTAGCTGCGTGTTTTTTCGTCCGGTCTCGCTCATTTTCTGCAAATTCTCGATCTCCCCATCCTTCGAGAGGGACGAGATTGGCAGTTTGGGAGTTGGTTTATTGGGTTTTAGTCCCTAGTAGCTGGTCACACTCATCACTGATTTCACCGTATGCAACACGTACCCTCGTAGTCGCCATTATTATAAACCCCTTTTAAAAAACAAAAAAAACCCCTTTGGGGGGGCATTTTAAAGGGATTCCCAAACAACAGTTATAAGGAAACTCCGAGATTCCCGCTTGAATAAAAGGAATTTTGCAAAATTTTTCCATATTTCAAAACGTTTTACCCACACACCCCAAAAAAAAAAACGGGGCCCTGAAGTTTTCCAAAAAAGAACAGATAACCAAAAAGGACATTTTAAAAACCCCGAGAATCCCTTCCTGGTTAAGTGTGTTTTTGTTGGAATAAAAAATTCAATTAATAACCAATAAAAGGGCCACCTCTTTTTCCCTCCTAAATTTTCTTTCTCTCCGGCTACTTCTCTCTTGGTTCCCCAAAAAAATATGTTTGGGTTGGTGGGGTTTGGGGGGTTTGTGGGGGGGGGGTTTTGGGGGGGTTGGGTGGAAAATTTTGAGGGGGGGGAAAAGAACTTTATTCCCCCTTCCCCCTCCCCCCCCCCCCCCCCCCCCCCCCCCCTTCAAACCCCCCCCTTTTAAAACAAAACCCTTTGGGAAAAATTTTTTTTTTTTTTTTTTTTTTTTTTTTTAAACCGATTAAAGGTTTTTTTAAACTCCAACCCCCCCCCCGGGGCCCCGGTTTTTTATCAAAGTACCCAGCCCTTTGAAAGTCAAAAATTTTATTTAAATAGGCTTTTTTTACAAAACACACAAAACCCCCAACAAAAACCGGGGGTTTTCATCAATTTTAAAAATTTCCTATCCAAAAATACCCTTTTAATTTTTAAAAAGTTTGTGTTTTCTTGTTTGGAGTTAAAATGTGCAAAAATTTTGTCCCCCCAGTAACAAATAACAAGTTCACCCCCCTTTTTTCCCCCTTTCTTTCCCTTCTGGTTTTTCAAAAATTTTTCCCGTCAGTAAACAAAAACTTTTCCAAGGGGTATTGGGTTCCTTCACATTTTTTTTGGGTTGTGTTTGTGGGGTTGTTTGTGCCAAAACCCTGTGGTGTGTCCCCTTGTCCCCGTCCCACCCCCTCCCCCTCCCTTTTCCAAACCCTCCCCCCCCATCCCCCCCCCCCCCCCCCCCCCCTCCCTCCCACAAAACAACCCCCCAACCCCTCCCCCCCACCCCACCCCCCCCCCCCCCTTCTCCCCACCCCTCCCCCCCCCCAAAACCCCACCCCCCACCCCCCCCCCCTTTTTTTTTTTCCCCTTTTTTCTACCCCCCCCCCCAAACACCAAATGCACCCACAATTACCCCCCTGGCACACACACCCCAACACCACACACCACACACCCCACACACCACCACACACCACCAACACACAACACCCTCCACCCCACACCACCCACACCCTCCACCCCACCCCAAACCCCACAACCCCAACCCCCACCCACACCCACACCACACCCCACAAAACCCCCACCCCCCCCCCACACACACCCCACCCACACCTCCCACCCCCTCCCACCCCCAACCCACCCCCCTCCCCCCCCCCCAAACCTCCTCCCCCACCACACCACTACCACACTCCCAAACACACACACACTCACACTCCCAACACACACACACACTCACTCACACTCCTTACCCCCCCTCACTGGCCCTGTCCCGTCCGGCGATCTCTCTGTGACAAAACATTCAGAGAGGTCTCCTTACCCCCCTCACTGGGGTTGTTGTTGTTGTTTGTCCCTAATCCATTGTCTGTGTTTCTCAGGGTCGGGTGGAGGTGGAGGCCGGGAACGAGAACATGAAGTTTGAGACGGGACCCTTCTCCTACTACGGGGTCATGGCCCTCAGTGCTCCCACATTAGGTGAGTCCTCGCTCTCCTCCATTACTCTGTCTGTTTCTCTCCTATCTCTCCCAATTCAAATATCTCTCTCTCAATTCAATTTAAGGGGCTTTATTGGCATGGGAAACATATGTTAACATTGCCAATGCAAGTGAAATAGATAATAAACACAAGTGAAATTAACAATAAAAAATAAACAGTAAACATTACACTCAGAAGTTCCAAAAGAATAAAGACATTTCAAAGGTCATATTATGTCTATATACAGTGTTGTAACAATGTGCAAATAGTTCAAGTACAAAAGGGAAAATAAATAAACATAAATATAGGTTGTATTTACGATGGTGTTTGTTCTTCACTGGTTGCCCTTTTCTTGTGGCAACAGGTCACAAATATTGCTGCTGTGATGGCGCACTGTGGTATTTCACCGAATAGATATGGGAGTTTATCAAAATTGGATTTGTTTTTCGAATGTGGGTCTGTGTAATCTGAGGGAAATGTGTCTCTAATATGGTCATACATTTGGCAGGAGGTTAGGAAGTGCAGCTCAGTTTCCACCTCATTTTGTGGGCAGTGTGCACATAACCTGTCTTCTCTTGAGAGCCAGGCCTGCCTACGGCAGCCTTTCTCAATAGCAAGGCTATGCTCACTGAGTCTGTACATAGTCAAAGATTTCCTTAATTTTGGGTCAGTCACAGTGGTCAGGTATTCTTCCACTGTGTACTCTCTGTTTAGCGCCAAATAGCATTCTAGTTTGCTCAGTTTTTTTGTAAATTCTTTCCAATGTGTCAAGTAATTATCTTTTAGTTTTCTCATGATTTGGTTGGGTCTAATTGTGTTGCTGTCCTTGGGCTCTGTGTGGTCTGTTTGTGTTTGTGAACAGAGCCCCAGGACCAGCTTGCTTAGGGGGCTCTTCTCCAGGTTCATCTCTCTGTAGGTGATGGCTTTGTTATGGAAGGTTTGGGAATCGCTAACTTTTAAGTGGTTGTAGAATTTAACAGCTCTTTTCTGGATTTTGATCATCAGCGGGTATCGGCCGTAGTCTCAATTTGGTGTTTGTCCCATTTTGTGAATTCTTGGTTGGTGAGCGGACCCCAGACCTCACAACCATAAAGGGCAATAGGTTCTATAACTGATTCAAGGATTTTTAGACAGATCCTAATTGGTCCTGGCAACTGGACATTTTTTGGAACACCATTATTTTTGTCTTACTGAGATTTACTGTCAGGGCTCAGGTCTGACAGAATCTGTGCAGAGGATCTAGGTGCTGCTGTAGGCCCTCCTTGGTTGGGGACAGAAGCACCAGATCATCAGCAAACAGTAGACATTTGACTTCAGATTCTAGTAGGGTGAGGCCGGGTGCTGCAGACTGTTCTAGTGCCCTCGCCAAATCGTTGATATATATGTTGAAGAGGGTGGGGCTTAAGCTGCATGCCTGTCTCAACCCACGGCCCTGTGGAAAGAAATGTGTGAATTTTTTGCCAATTTTAACCGCACACTTGTTGTTTGTGTACATGGATTTTATAATGTCGTATTTCTTCCCCCCAACACCACTTTCCATCCGTTTGTATTGCAAGCCTTCATGCCAAATTGAGTCAAAAGCTTTTTTGAAATCAGCAAAGCATGAGAAGACTTTGCCTTTGTTTTGGTTTGTTTGTTTGTCAATTAGGGTGTGCAGGGTGAATACGTGGTCTGTCGTACGGCAATTTGACAAAAACCCAATTTGACGTTTGCTCAATACATTGTTTTCGCTGAGGAAATGTAAGAGTCTGCTGTTGATGATAATGCAGAGGATTTTCCCAAGGTTGCTGTTGACGCATATCCCACGGTAGTTATTGGGGTAAAATTTGATTCCAGTTTTGTGGTTTGGGTTGATCAGTCCTTGGTTCCAAATATTAGGGAATATGCCAGAGCTGAGGATGATGTTAAAGAGTTTAAGTATAGCTAATTGAAATTTGTGGTCTGTATATTTTATCATTTCATTGAGGATACCATCAACACCACAGGCCTTTTTGGGTTGGAGGGTTTGTATTTTGTCCTGTAGTTCATTCAATGTAATTGGAGAATCCAGTGGGTTCTGGTAGTCTTTAATAGATGATTCTAAGATTTTGCATTTGATCATTTGCTGTTTCATTTGCTGAATCCAGTGGGTTCTGTATGTTTTTGCTGTTTGTTCTATGTTATAGGGCCAAAAAGATTGAAGTGGTTTATCCATACATCTCTGTTTTGGATAGATAACTCTTCGTGTTGTTGTTTGTTTAGAGTTTTCCAATTTTCCCAGAAGTGGTTTGATTCTATGGATTCTTCAATTACATTGAGCTGATTTCTGACGTGCTGTTCCTTCTTTTTCCAAAGTGTATTTCTGTATTGTTTTAGTGTTTCACTATAGTGAAGGCGTAGACTCAGGTTTTCTGGGTCTCTGTTTTTGGTTGGATAGGTTTCTCAATTTCTTTCTTAGGTTGTTGCATTCGTTATCAAACCATTTGTCATTGTTATTAATTTTCTTAGTTTATCTGCTTGAAATGTTTAGATTTGATAGGGAAGCTGACAGTTCAAATATACTGTTTAGGTTTTCTACTGCCAAGTGTACACATTCGCTATTATAGTGAAACATTTTGTCCAGGAAGTTGTCTAGAAGGGATTCAATTGGTTGTTTCCTAATAGTTAATAATAGTTATTGTATACGCTTCCACACTACATCCCTTCCATTTATAGCATGTCTTAATATTATTCAGTTCCTTTGGCTTTGATGCCTCATGATTGAGCATAGCTTTGTTCAAGTAGAGTGTGATTTTGCTGTGATCTGATAGGGGTGTCAGTGGACTGACTGTGAACGCTCTAAGATACTCTGGGTTGAGGTCAGTGATAAAGTAGTCTACAGTGGTCTAAGGCACTGCATCGCAGTGCTAGCTGTGCCACTAGAGATCCTGGTTCGAATCCAGGCTCTGTCGTAGCCGGCCGCGACCGGGAGACCAGTAGCGTATTTCTTTCATGTAGCCAGTGCTTTTGAATACCTGAAGTGAAGTCAGCAGGGGCAATGAGTTCAGGAATTATACACACCAATGGTTTTGTTTCTCAAAACTATTTTTCCTGATGAACTTTGAACTCTGTGGCTCTGCCTGTCTACCTCTCTTCCTCATTTCTCTCACTCTCTCTCTCTCTACCTCTACCTCTCTTCCTCATTTCTCTCACTCTCTCTCTTCCTCATTTCTCTCACTCTCTCTCTCTCTACCTCTACCTCTACCTCTCTTCCCTCACTCTCTCTACCTCTACCTCTCTTCCTCATTTATCTCACTCTCTCTACCTCTGTCTCTCACTCGCTCTCTCTACCTCTCGCTCTCGCTCTCAATTCAATTTCAATTTAAGGGCTTTATTGGCATGGGAAACGTATGTTAACATTGCCAAAGCAGGTGAAGTAGATAGTAAACAAAAGTGAAATAAACAATAAAAATGAACCGTAAAAATAAAGACATTTCAAATGCCATATTATGTCTATATACAGTGTTGTAACGATGTGCAAATTGTTAAAGTACAAATGGGAAAATAAATAAACATAAATATGGGTTGTATTTACAATGGTGTTTGTTCTTCACTGGTTGCCCTTTTCTTGTGGCAACAGGTCACAAATCTTGCAGCTGTGATGGCACACTGTGGTATTTCACCCAATAGATATGGGAGTTTATCAAAATTGGGTTTGTTTTCAAATTCTTTGTGGATCTCTGTAATCTGAGGGAAATATGTGTCTCTAATATGGTCATACATTTGGCAGGAGGTTAGGAAGTGCAGCTCAGTTTCCATCTCATTTTGTGGGCAGTGTGCACATAGCCTGTCTTCTCTTGAGAGCCAGGTCTGCCTACGGTGGCCTTTCTCAATAGCAAGGCTATGCTCACTGAGTCTGTACATAGTCAAAGCTTTCCTTAAGTTTGGGTCAGTCACAGTGGTCAGGTATTCTTCCACTGTGTACTCTCTGTTTAGGGCCAAATAACATTCTAGTTTGCTTAGTTTTTTTTGTTAATTCTTTCAAATGTGTCAAGTAATTCTCTTTTGGTTTTCTCATGATTTGGTTGGGTCTAAATGTGTTGTTGTCCTGGGGCTCTGTGGGGTCTGTTTGTGTTTGTGAACAGAGCCCCAGGACCAGCTAGCTTCGCGTGCTCTAGGGCAACGGTGTCTAGATGGAATTTGTGTTTGTGGTCCTGGCAACTGGACGTTTTTTGGAACACCATTATTTTTGTCTTACTGAGATTTACTGTCAGGGCTCAGGTCTACCTCACTCTCTCTGTCCTTACAGAGTGTTTTGTCTCTCACTCACTTGTTTGTCTCTATTCATACTTCTCTCCTTTTTCCTTCTCTCTCTTTCACCTGTTTGTTTTAATCTGAGAATAATGTATCCCACACCTACAGCTCAAATCAAACAGAGATTCTCTCTTTTACTGTCACATGTAATGCGACCTGTAAGTGTGAGTCAAGGAATGGTTTAACTAAGTACTTTTACATGTATATTTTCCACCTTGGTTACTCAAAACCACGCTAGCCTGGGCTGTCGCTAGTGGGCTTTGTGGATCTCCACTATCGTCTGGGCTTGATGTGGCCTGCCGGTAATACACTTGTGTCCCCCGGCGGCCGGTTCGTACATAAAACATTCTCCATTCAGGCTGCAAAGGCTTCGATTTCCTCCTTAACTAGATTTAATGGCGAGAATGCGAGAAAAAAAACGGTGAAAATATGCGTACTTTCCTTATGAAACACAATTTCCCACCACCATACTAGTGGCTAATGCCTAAGAATGCCACTTCCTGATTTTGTGCCCCGCGTTCAGCTAGGCGTAAACAGACTGCTGCCAACTTGTTTGGCTGAACATGATATGCCACATTCGGGACTAGCATTCCTAGTTAAGGAGGAAATCGAAGCCTTTGCAACCTGAAAGGAGACTGTTTTCTGTACGAACCGGTCGCTGGGGGACACCAGTGTAGTAGCCCAGACAATAGTGGAGATCCGAAATCCCGGTTGAAGGTTTCCCGCATTCAGAAGGGAATAAACAGGAAATACCGACTCCTCCAACCAGGATTTCTGGAAATACAGGGAATTTTATGAAATTTCCCGAAATTTTTAACCCCTCTCATGCCCTCTCTTTCTCTCTCTCTCTCTCTCGCTCGCTCTCTCGCTCTTTCTCTCGCTCTCTGTCTCTCTCTCTTTCTGTCTCTCTCTTGCTCTCTCTCTCGCTCTCCCTCTCTCTCTTTGTCTCTCTCGCTCTCTCTCTCTCTCTTTGTCTTCTCGCTCTCTCTTTCTCCCTCTCTCTCTCTCTCTCTCTGTCTCTCTCTCTTTCTGTCTCTCTCTTGCTCTCTCTTTCGCTCTCCCTCTTTGTCTCTCTCACTCTCTCTTTGTCTCTCTCGCTCTCTCTTTCTCCCTCTCTCGCTCTTTCGTTCTCTCTCTCTCTCTCTCTCTCTCTCTCTCTCTCTCTCTCTCTCTCTCTCTCTCTCTCTCTCGATGTCTCTCGCTCTCCCTGTCTCTGTCTCTCTCGCTCTCGCTCTCCCTGTCTCTGTCTCTCTCCCTGTCTCTCTTGCTCTCCCTGTCTTTCTTTGTCTCTCGCTCTTTCTCTCGATCGCTCTCTCTTTCTCTCTACCTGTCTCTCGCTCTCCGTGTCTCTCTCTCTCGCTATTTCTCTCGATCGCTCTCTCTCTCTCTCGCTCTCTCTCTCTGTACCTCTGTTTCCTCACTCTCCTCTCCTTTTCTTCCGCTATTCTTTCTCTACCTTCCTCTTCTCTTTCCTCTCCTCTCTCTCTCTCTCTCTCGCTCTTTCTCACGATTGCTCTGTCTCTCTCTCTCTCCCTGTCTCTCGTTCTCCCTGTCTCTCCATCTCTCTCTCTCTCTCTCTGTCTCCTCTCTCTCTCTCTCTCTCTCTCTCTGTCTCTCTCTCTCTCTCGCTCTTTCTCTCGATCGCTCTCTCTCTCTCTTTCTCTCGATCTCTCTCTCTCTCTCTCTCGATCTCTCTCTCTCTCTCTCTCTGTACCTCTTTGTTTCCTCACTCTCCTCTCCTTTTCTTCTCTTTCTCTATCTTCCTCTACCTCTTCTCTTTCCTCTCCTCCCTCCATCTCGCTCTCCTTTCTGTCTTTCATCTCCTCCTTCCATCTGTCTCTCCATCTGTCTCTCTCAGTGGTGTCATCTCGTCCTCGTCACCTCTCTCTAAAGAGGTTCTCTCTGTTCTCCAGGTTGCCAGGTAACCTCCGGCATGTCTGGGCAATGGGGAAACATTTAACTGTAACACCCAGGTTGGGGAAGAATATAACCGTAACACCCACTACTTTATCCTACTTTATGTAGTAGTTTTATAGAAAATGGTAGTGACTACTGAGTAGTCTACAGGATCACCAGCATCAGTTACACACAAACCTTCACCAATCAAAAATGCTACCAAACGCTGACGGTGCAAGGAAACTTGCCGTCCTATATTACTTCTGTTTCTAGCCTTCATCTGCAATTTAAATCAACAAGTCTCAGGCTAACTGCTAACTCTCATTAGCTTTGGTGGAGTGTGGAGGACTCTGTTGCACCAGAAGAGAAACTATACCCCATTTTGATAATACCAGGTAATGTGTCTTCCTGGCCTGCAGAGGGCATTGCAGTGGTTAGCAGTTTGTTGATATGATTGGTAGTAATCTACCTTAAGGCAGACTGCCCGTGGGGTTGGCAACTTGGCATCCGCATGCCCAGGGCTAAGACTGGCACGGCCCTTTCTCCACCTTGCATCACAGGCCAGGGTTAATGTTGCAGAAACTGGAAGCTGGGTGTCTTCTCAGCCTGTTATTGGCTGAGTGGTTGACAAGCAGATCTTCAGCTGTTAGACTCTGCATCACTCTGTGTTCCCGTCACGCCTGACAATCATGCATCTCACCTGCAGTACTGCACTGGCACAAACCAACTGACACACACACACACACACACGTTGGATGTCACACACTCATGCAAGTTCTTCACACTTTGAAATACAGTGTGGTTGGTTGCTATATGCAAGCTCTAAAGATTAGGTCCACCTGCAGAACGCCTCTAAGGTGTTTTATAAATCCATGTGGATACACTTTACTGAGGCACTGGCATCGCGTGTTATTCAATGGCATTGTGTGTTATTCAATGGGTGCCAGATGTTGTGAGCAGCGCCACCTGGTGGTATTAGTGTGAAATGAACAGATTTCTAATTTTTGAGGTGTGTTTCACCGCGTGTAGAAACTAGTATTAAACCTTCTGACTCCCTCTAACAGCTCTCTAACAGCTCTCTAACAGCTCTCCCTAACAGCTCTCTCTAACAGCTCTCTCTAACAGCTCTCTCTAACAGCTCTCCCTAACAGCTCTCTCTAACAGCTCTCTCTAACAGCTCCCTCTAACAGCTCACTCTAACAGCTCTCCCTAACAGCTCTCCCTAACAGCTCTCCCTAACAGCTCTCTCTAACAGCTCTCTCTAACATGGATGGATATTTGTGATTTTGGTTATGTGTTAGCTCTGACAAGTCTCTTGTCTCTCTCTGTCCATCCAGTTGACATGCCCATTACTGCATTAACTGTGTATTGGCCTCTAGAAGGCACCTTTGCCTGGTTTGGCAGTGGCATGCAAATTTTTCACAGATTTAGCCTACCATTTCATTAACACAGTTTTACGTGTTTGTGTGCATCTGCACGTGTGAGTGTGATTTTTCCTTGTGGCTCACTCTAACGCTACGACCCTGTGTGTGTTTCAGAGTCCCACATCGGTGGTTTGAACAGGACAGCGTCTCTGGGCACTGCAGATCGGACAGAGTCCGTGTCGGTCAGCGGCAGCAGCAGCCAGATCAACACTCAGTTCGCTGTCCCCTCACCATCATACACACCCGACTTCTATGTACGAGCTCTCACAGACCTGCAGTTTGTCAAGGTAAGGATAGCCAGCCATACATTGATACCTCCTGCACTGAGCTTTAATGATTTGGCCTAGGATAGAGACGGTGTGTGTAGGCTTATGTTGGACCCCAACACTACAACACCTTGATTATCTCTCTCTCCTCTCTTTCTCTCTCTCCCTCACCATGTCCCTTCATCCTCCCTCTTCCCTCTCTGTCAGATCACGCGGGCCCAGTACCAGAACGGTCTGATGGCATCTCGTCTGGATTCCGCCCCCCAGTCACCTGATTGCGGCCACCCCCGTCTGGAGGGTACCACACCCCCTGTGGGCACCGCCACTCTCGGCTTCCTGGCTGACGACACCCCCACTCCGGAGAAAAGCCCCCTCCTGGACGACGAGACCACCTCTCTCCTCAACGAGCAGTACGGCCCCCTCCTGGACGACGAGACCACCTCTCTCCTCAAGGAGCAAAACTCTCTGCCTCACAACCACCACAACCAATCAGAGAGCAGCATATGACACACACACACACACACACACACACACATACTAGTGCACACACTTATATATTTGCGTTTACACACACTACCAGTGACTGGGTGCAGACATCCACACACACACTCTGACATTATTCCAAACTGTCTGAAGGAACGACTCTCTCCCCCCATTTTAAAAGTCAACCCTGTGGCTGGAAGTGTGGACATTGTCAGCTATCCCCCCTGTACCCCCTCTTCTTCCAGCATGGTTCAGCTATCCCCCCTGTACCCCCTCTTCTTCCAGCATGGTCAGCTATCCCCCCTGTACCCCCTCTTCTTCCAGCATGTTCAGCTATCCCCCCTGTACCTCCTCTTCTTCCAGCATGGACAGCTATCCCCCCTGTACCCCCTCTTCCAGCATGGTCAGCTATCCCCCCTGTACCCCCTCTTCTTCCAGCATGGTCAGCTATCCCCCCTGTACCCCCTCTTCTTCCAGCATGGTCAGCTATCCCCCCTGTACCCCCTCTTCCAGCATGTTCAGCTATCCCCCTGTACCCCCTCTTCCAGCATGGCACGGTGTCCTTATTGGTCTGTCTGACTGCAGTGTCTGTGTGCGCACCGTTCTGTCTGCAACGTGTGTTTTGTTTTTCTGTCTGTCTGCAACGTGTGTTTTGTCTTTCTGTCTGTCTACAACGTGTGTTTTGTCTGTCTGTCTACAACGTGTGTTTTGTCTGTCTGTCTACAACGTGTGTTTTGTCTTTCTGTCTACAACGTGTGTTTTGTCTGTCTGTCTACAACGTGTGTTTTGTCTTTCTGTCTGTCTACAACGTGTGTTTTGTCTGTCTGTCTACAACGTGTGTTTTGTCTTTCTGTCTGTCTGCAAGGTGTCTATGTACTGTAACAGTTAAGGACAGAGATCAAAGGAGACAACAGAGATTGGAAAGAAGGACCATGTGGAGGAAAGGAGGAAGGGGCAGAACAGAGGTATGAGAGAGAGAAGTAGAGAGAGATACTGGATAGATAGAATGTGACTTGGGGTAGTGGTGTTGGGTATACAGGACTGGACTGAGAGAGGCCCCTTATGACCATGACTTTTATAGACTGTCAACACAAGTGGTTTTTATATGGATTAACACGTGTTTTTCTTCTCACTTTGATATAAAAAGGCCATCAGAGTTTCAGATATAGACAGTGAGAGGTCGTAGCTAGGTACAGACGCCTATAGGGAGAGGTTATTGTGTCTGTGTGTGTTTCTGTTTGTGTGTCTGTGTGTGTGTGTGTGTGTGTGTGTGTGTGTGTGTGTGTGTGTGTGTGTGTGTGTGTGTGTGTGTGTGTGTGTGTGTGTGTGTGTGTGTGTGTGTGTGTGTGTGTGTGTGCGTGTCCTCTGCCTTGCTGTCTCCTGGTCTTCTCTGTCTCCACTGTAAAGCCACACTACTCAGGGAGACTCAAATAAACAGATAGAAGCACCAACAACAACAGCAACAACAACAACAACAGCATGTGTAGCAACCCCCAACCATTAACCAACGGCAACTATACAGCTAAAGACAAAGACCAATCAGAACAAAGCATGTCAAAGAGAAAACTAAGTAATATATGTTATAAATATGTAATAATACTATATTGAAAGAGAAAATGCTATTTATTAATTCCATGTATGCTGAGAGAGGAAAAAAAACATCTGTTTGGTTTGTATCTGTGAATATTCATGTCAAGGTGTATAGTAGATTAGTGATCTTTATGAGTTTCCTCAGACTTCTATGGGGAAGTCTTGAATAGAAGATGGCTAGTCTTTTAGCTAGGTGCTTCTCCTTTTCCCCAAAGATGACAATGGATTAATCAGTGATGGACCTCCAGTGTGTGTTGTGAGTAAGACAATCAATATGATGATGAATGTGGGAGATGTGTAGGGAGATGTGTAGGGAGATGTGTAGGGAGATGTGTAGGGTACGTTACTATAAAGGGGACATAACAAAGAAATCTTTCCTGCTTTGAGATGGAGGGGGGACTGGGGACTGGGGACTGGGGACTGGGGACTGGGGTGAGAGGCCCTGGGGACTGGGGACTGAGGACTGGGGACTGGGGACTGGGGACTGGGGTGAGAGGCCCTTGGGGACTGGGGGACTGGGGTGAGAGGCCCTGGGGACTGGGGTGAGAGGCCCTGGGGACTGGGGTGAGAGGCCCTTGGGGAACTGGGACTGGGATGGACTGGGGATGGGGACTGGGTGAGAGGCCCCTGGGGGACTGGGACTGGGGTGAGAGGCCCCTGGGGACTGGGGACTGGGGGTGAGAGGCCCTGGGGACTGGGGACTGGGGTGAGAGGCCCTGGGGAATGGGACTGGGGACTGGGGTGAGAGGCCCTGGGGACTGGGGACTGGGGACTGGGGTGAGAGGCCCTGGGGACTGGGGACTGGGGACTGGGGTGAGAGGCCCTGGGGACTGGGGACTGGGGTGAGAGGCCCTGGGGACTGGGGACTGGGGTGAGAGGCCCTGGGTCTAAGATTTTGGGGTGCAAAAGCTTAAAGGTTTGTGTCTGTTTTTATGACCAAGTGGCAGTCACATTCTGAACAGTAACCAAATTAGAAAAATGCCTCATGTCCTGACAAATATACCTTCATATACATAATTGACTGTATTTATTTTGCATAAAGTTGTATATTTTTTAGATTTATGTTGTTTTGGTTTTTGCATTGTTGTAAATTCTGTTGTCTGTGTTTTATAATCTAGCGTTTTCATTGAGAATACTGTCATTATCACGATGAGATTCCTTTTAAATGTAGCAGTTGAACGCGGTGGTATACAAAGGGAGGTTGACAGCCAGTCCAGTGCACAGAGAATCCGTTTCATGCTTTAGTCTCTAGACCCATCTCATCAGTCCAAAGTCATATATTATATTTCCCAGACCTGTCCTGCACATTTTCCCGTGTATTGATCTATTGAATAACACTGTGACATTATCATTTTACCAAATCTATACCAAATTAACAGCATTGTTTTACCAAATAATTAATATTTCCTCTCAATTTTATATTTAATGTTTTACACATTTTAAAAAAACACAGTAGCACTGCAGATTCCACAAAAAGGGCACGGTCACAAAAGGGATATATTCTCTGTCTAAAGTCATATCTTGTGCTGGACTGGTATGGGCCAACCCTCACCTCCTTTAAAACAACAAGTGTTCACATTGATCATGGAACCAGAACTGGACTCTAGCTCTCCTGAAGGGGAATGATCAAGCACTTTTTTCTACGACTTTATTTTTTTATTTTTAATAGTTGAGATGTGGTGTAGTTATGAATTCAAAGGATGGGGATGAATTCAACAACAACAACATCTCCCTTTTTTAAAGAAATTGGAATGATTCAGGGTTAATGTGGTATTTTGAACTGAATGACTTGTTCAGGTCAAATGTGACTGAGGGGTCTACAAATAAGGGGGCAAATCCTAACTTCAAATATATGTTTCCCTTTGACATCAATGCATGACTAAGATTACGTCCCGATTCTTCTTCATTTTTTGCACAATTGTCGTGGATGTAAAAGCATAGGATTGGTGTAAGCATTGGCAAAAGAGAGTACATAAGTGCACACTTTTTTGGAGAAGGGTGGAGAATTGAGATTTGTCCTACGCGACAATTGGACATATTTAAGTAGAAGTTAGGATTTGGTCTGACATGACCTGCATCCACGCTGATCCATTTTATTTTTGAAATTCTATTCCAAAAGTTATATTTCTGCTGAATAAATTACATTGATATTGAAAGCTGACGTTGTAAACTGGTGTCATCAACTGAGTTTAAATATGGGGCCTGTCAGTCATGATTACAGATTACAGTGGAATGTAAATGCTGTATTGATTGGAAAAGCCAAACTGGTCGCATGTGAATAACTTCTACTCATCAAGAGGTAGGCTTTCAGATGAAACATTTTTGAAGAAAAGCCTGAGAATAGATGGGTTAGTATTTTATTCACTTCAGCCTGAGAATAGATGGGTTAGTATTTTATTCACTTCAGCCTGAGAAGAGATGGGTTAGTATTTTATTCACTTCAGCCTTGAGAATAGATGGGTTAGTATTTTATTCACTTCAGCCTTGAGAATAGATGGGTTAGTATTTTATTCACTTCAGCCTTGAAAATAGATGGGTTAGTATTTTATTCACTTCAGCCTTGAAAATAGATGGGTTAGTATTTTATTCACTTCAGCCTGAGAATAGATGGGTTAGTATTTTATTCACTTCAGCCAAAACAATGTGAGGGAGGTACAATGATAGAATGGAATATATGATGTCATGAAATTCTTCACATTCCAATGCGGATGTTCTTCACACTGCCTTAAACACATTTAGCTAATCTTGGGTCGGTTTCTTGGACACAGATTAAACCTAGTCCTGGACCTAAAAAGCCCATTCAATGGAGAATCTCTCTTCCATGACTAGGCTTAATCTGTGTCCGGGAAACTGGATCCCTTCTGTCTCTACCCCCCTTCAGACGTATGGTGGTAGTACCTGTCTACTGTAGCACTGTGATCACTGACCAGGTGAAACCCCCCAGAGCAGGGCTCTCCAACCCTGTTCCTGGAGAGCTACTGTCCTGTAGGTTTTCACTCCAACCCTGTTCCTGGAGAGCTACCCTCTTGTAGGTTTTAACTCCAACCCTGTTCCTGGAGAGCTACTGTCCTGTAGGTTTTCACTCCAACCCTGTTCCTGGAGAGCTACTGTCCTGTAGGTTTTCACTCCAACCCTGTTCCTGGAGAGCTACTGTCCTGTAGGTTTTCACTCCAACCCTGTTCCTGGAGAGCTACTGTCCTGTAGGTTTTCACTCCAACCCTGTTCCTGGAGAGCTACCCTCTTGTAGGTTTTAACTCCAACCCTGTTCCTGGAGGACTACTCTCCTATAGGTTTTCACTCCAACCCTAATTTAGCAAACCTGATTTAATAATTAGCTGGATGATAAGATGAATTTGGTTGGTTAGAACTGGGGTTGGAGAGAACCTACAGGAGGTTAGTTCTCCAGGAACCGGGTTGGAGTGAAAACCAGCAGG